AAATGAGGTACAAAGAGGTCCACTGACTAGACCAAGGTCGCTACAGAGGAGTGACCAAAAATTAGTATGAAAATTATCATACTGTCACAGGATCCTGGGGTGTCACTTTGCCAGCTAGAAACCTCTGTGGCCAGTGGCACCTTCGACCTGAGTATTGTTTGCGCCCTCTGGACTTATTCCGCCCGCTTGGCCTGGCAAGCTGCGCTCAGCTCATGCTACCAGCCCAGATCCCCAACCTGCCAAGGGCAAGACAGGCACAGAGCGACGAAGGGTGTGTGGGCAAGTGAGCATGCAGTCTGGCCACTGTGCACAGGCAGGCACCCCACATGCTGTGGCCGGATCAGCAGCTTCAGATACCGGCACAGGTGCCAAGTGGGCAGCTCCTGGTGCTGGCACAAGTGCCAGCTCAGAGCAAGGCTGAGGCTGGAGTAGATATATCACATGTGGTTTCCAATGCAGGCACACACATTTGCACAAGGGGAAAGTGGCGGCACCCAGAAACTTGGCAACACCAAGAACCGCAGAGCCCCAAAGAAGTGTCACAGCCCTTGCTTAGGGAACCCTCAGGTCTGGGATCCCCCAAGGGCTGCAGCTATCTCCTTCTTGTCACCCACAAAGTGGTGAGCAGGGGAGCATGTTTCAGCCCCGTTTGTGTTATAGCTCTTTCAGTCCTGCCATTCAGCAGGTCTGGAGTTCTTGTCCCAGACAAGGAAGAATGAAGCATATGGACAACTGGAGGGTGAGCAAGTCAAAGAGGAGCTTCAATGAGTGACAGAACAGCTCTCAGGAAACCTAAAGTGGGTAGCTCCTTTCTGCAGGCTGGTCTTCCTGACCAGTGTCCAGCTCTCAGCAGAGAGGAGGAGGAGACTCGCAGTGAGTGGCTCCTGTCCACAGGCAGGTCGTCCCAAAGAGTGTCCAGCTCTCAGCAGAGAGAAGACCAACAGTGGGTAGCTCCTTTCCATGGGCAGTTCGTCCGGAAATGTTGAGGAGACCTGAATTGGGTAGCTGCTACCCACAGCTGGTAGTCCGAACATCTGTGTGAGTCTAGCAGAACCCAGGGATTTTCATGGGCTCAGAAGGGAGGAAGTATGTGTTGACTGGTACATAGGCAGACCTAGAAAAAGCATCGTAAGTTCTCACTCCTGGTGGTGGACTCTACCCAGAACTGGCAGCCTGGACCCCAGGCTTCAGGTTGTCCCTAGCTTGAAGGTGGGGTTTCACCTGGGACCTGCCCCTTTCCACCAAGGAGCCTGCCTGCCTCCTGCCACCATCAACACGTCCTCCACAGTGCCCAGGCTGTTTGTGCCAAGGGACACCTGCAGGCCCATTCTGAGTTGCCCTCAGCACCTCCTCAGCCTCCTTCCCATGCTCATTTGCACCCAAAGTCCAGAGGGGCCTGAGGTGGTATCTAGCATGTCGGCACCACCCCAAGAGTGTGCACACCCAGACAGGTTGCAACAGTGCCCAGGCTCAGCCACAACTTTGCTTCGAAATCAGCTGCAGGGAGTAGAGAGAAGCCAGAGAGAAGGAGCTGGCACTTCTGAGCCTGCAGGGGCCGAGGGACTTCCAGGGCCCTGGAGAGCACAGAGATGCCCAGGTCTGGAGCTGAGGCTGAGTGGTGGCAGCTGCACCTGGGAGCAGAGCGCAGGGCTCCTACACCCACCAACTCAGTAGGGGGTGGGGCTCCCTGGAGTATGTAGCCCTGGCTGCGCCTCCCCAGCTGTAGTAGCTTAAATCCCCATAGTGGCTGCTCCAGATGGGCTGCTGCCACCATCAGTATAACAGGCTACTTCTCAGAATTCAACACAACAGAAAATTTTGTTTTTTAAAGGGAACAAAGCTAACAACATTTAATTTAATTAAGGATATAAACCTACTAAATGATTTCTTGGATACTCTGACCTAATTACCTAGACAGAATTTAGCTTATTTTGGTTATTTCAATGGTTTCAAGGATAAGTTTTCCTAGAATAATTATAGTAGGTTGAATACTATCTACCTAGAACCTCAGAAGATGACCTTATTTGGAAATAGGGTCTTTGTAGACATAATTAAGGTAAGGATCGAGATAACACTATATACTACTGGAGTAGGGTGGGCCCTAAATCCAATTAGAATGTCCCTATAAGAGGCAGAAAGGATATGCAGAGAAGGCCATGTGACCATAAAGGCAGAGATTAGTATTCATGCTGCCACAAGTCAAGGGATGCCAGAAGCTGGAAGAGGCAAGGAAAAATCCTCCCCTAGAGCCTTTGGATGGAGCTCTCTAGCATCTATAGTTCAGGTTGCCTGAACTGTGAAAGAATACATTTTAGTGGTTTTAAACCACCCAGTTAGTGGTAATTCTTACGGAAACCCTAGGAAACTAAATAATAATATTCAATAATTCCAGTTTAATTTCAGGGATTTCTTTTATATAAGACACTATGCATTGTCCTGCCTCTCTCCCTCACAAAGGGCAAACTGACTTGGTTAGGAATGGGCACCTGACCCACAGTATGATAAGCACTTAAGTTGGCCTGCTAACTGAGGTGGCCTGACATGAAAAGCTTTCCCCAAGCAGAAACAAATGGGGACCAGAATCTCCTCATTAGAAATGTGAACAGGGCAATAGAAAGGTCAGGCAATAAATATCAGGAAAATAAACTGATTCACGAATTAAAACTGGAACATCCGGGTGATAGATCATGAATTTCTACAGTTGAGTTGAAAGAGGCCCATGACAAAAATAACTAGGTTTTAGACTACCTTGGGATGTCAAATAACCTTCCATACCAACCTCCATGAGGCACAGCTACACAGTTATCCCTAGAATTCCTGTGATATTTCTAGCTCCCTTACTGTAGTGTACAACATGTTCTCCCTGCTTCCACCCAGGGCTATTCTTTAAAAATGTAGGTCACCTCATGCCATTCAATTCCTCAAAACTCTCTAAGAGTGTCCCAGCTCACTCAAGGTAAAAGCCAAAGTCCTCTGAATGGTGGATAAGGCTCTACATTATCCAGCATGCTAGCCTCCTTGACATTCCTAGAACATGCCAAGCATGCTCCCATCTTTGGTATTTGCTGTTGCTGTTTTCTGTTTCTAAAAACATTACTCTTCCAGTGAACATAACTTACTGCCACACTTCCGTGCAAATGTCATTAAAGTCAGGGAGGCTTTCACTGATCATCTAATATAAAGTAGCAACATCTACTCCTCAGCTCATACCCCAACCTGACATTTTATATACACCTTTAAAAAATTTTGTCTGAATTCCTGTACTGGAATGTAAGCTCCATATGTATAAGCCCCATATGGACAAGAGGAATTTAGTTTTGTTATTCCTTTATAAGATTATCTACATGATATGTAAAAACAAACCACATAGTATTAAGCGCAATTTATTGAACCTCTCTAATTTAAGGTATTGCCAAAGCAAATTAACTCTTAATGTTAAAAAATTGTTTTCTTAATCTATCACATGATGGCAAATTGGAATAAACATCATACAGATGGTGTTAGAATTACTAGAAGTATCATCCACAATGTATAGGGCAAAGAAGTCCCAATTTACACACAGCTATGTGATCAGGAAAAAAATGGGCTTTTCAATGTACTAATACATATTCTTGAGACATTATATTTCAAAAAATACAAGCACAGATTTTTAAGAAAATGTAGAATTTCAGATGATCTTTCAAATCAATGAAAATACAGTCCCAAATGGTATTGTGTCATAAAAAAAATCATCTAAGTTATTCAACTAAGTTCTCTATAACAACAAAATATGTTTTGTCTCTTAAGCTGATAGATGAGTAAAAAGGTGTTTTATCTTCTATACTTTTTGCTGAAAGTTTTCATAGTTTTTCTTTTAAATCAGACAACTTTTAATTGTATGTGGTAACAGTGAAAGAATACTAACAAAAGTGAAAGAATACTATTTTTAATAGACTCTCCTTATTGTGACACTGTACAAAGTAGTTGTTAAGGGCTCAGGCTCTAGACATACACAGCCTGTGTTTAAATGTTAACAGTGACACTTGCTGGCCATGCAACTTTAACATGTAGCAAATTACTTAACCTCTCTGAGCCTCAAGTTTGTCTATAAAATAGGAACAATACTAATACTGTTATCCTGGTTGTATATGTATATTTCAAGGTACTACAACATTGCATAGGGGTGGTAAATGCCATACACATACTACCATATATATCTGTACATATATATATATATATATATATAAAACATATACACACACGCGTAATTTTTCATTACTATTTGTTAATGTATTTAAAATGCCTATACACCATCCAAGAAGACATTTGGAAATAGAATCTCAGTTTTAAAAAAAAATTTCAATTTCAAGAGAGAAATATAAGCTGAAAATATAATCTAGGCATCACAGGGATCTCTCTCTCTCTCTCTCTCTCTCTCTCTCTCACACACACACACACACACACACACACACACACACACACACACACAACTCCCACTCTCAGAACAGCACTTGGGCGATAATACTACAGAAATGTTAAAATGTTAACAATTACTTTTTTTTTTTTTTTTTTGAGACTGAGTCTTACTCTGTCACCAACCTGGAGTGCAGTGGCACAATCTTGGCTCACAGCAACCTCTGCCTCCCGGGTTCAAGCGATTCCCCTGCCTCAGCCTCCCCAGTAGCAGGGACTACAGGTACATGACGCCACGCTTGTTTTTATTTTTTTTATTTTTTTTGTATTTTGGTAGAGATGGGATAGTTTTAATAAGCATTTCAGAAGTCAATTAAATGTAAGCTTATCAAAATTAAAGTTAACACTTAAATGCATATAATAGGAACTCACTAAAGATTTCATGAACAAATATAATTCTTGGTAGTTACCTTTTTGAAATTTCTGTTACAAAAAGTAAACAGAAATTGAAAAAATATAAGAATTTAAGTTTTTCAGCTTCTACTCCAAATATTACTAAATTTAGTAGGTAAAAGTAACAAAATAATCACTAATAATTATGACCATAGTAAGATTATTATATTGGCCTTGAAAACATTTTCAAATATATTTATTCATTGTTAATTTAGAATCAACCTCAATATAAATACATACATATATTCCTGTGAGCCATAGGAAAAAACCTCAATTATGTTTTTCAGGTTCCTCAGGCTTAAATGTCCCTGCCCAAAATAGTCAACAGTATGTCCCCACGACTTGCATATTATCCTCAAAAGGTGTGGCTAACAATCAGGGCAGGACCTCGGAGAAAGGGGATATTGGCCAAGTCATTCCCAGTCTAAACAAAATTGAAAAAGTATGCATGCCACATGGGTATTGAAAATGAACTTTAAAAATCTGCTGGACTAAATATGCAGGTATAAAACAATCCAATGTTTGTGTTGTGCCTAAAAATGTTTGATTTCCACTGACATTATATCTAGACCTGCTTACTATTTTTCCACTGCTATCTCTTACCTGCTGCAGAATCCACTAAAGCACATGATTCTATTCAGAAGAATAAGGGTTGGGGGGAGTAATTTTAAAAACCTAAAAGAACCCCAAGGAACACAGATAGAGGATATTTCCCCTCAGAGGATGGGGGAGAGGTTGGTCTTCTGCCTTAAATTCAAGTGTACAGAAAGCATCATAAAGCTTAAGCAAGAATTGATGGTAAGTTTTTCTAATGGCCACTGACAGAAGCCATTTTCTGAGTTTTCCTGAAAGTATGGATTACTAGCAAAGCTCCATTTAAGAGATTTTTTTTGCAGTTTTCATGTTCAATTAAATAATGTTCTTCCCTTCTGTCTAAATATATATGATATATGAATATATATATTATATAAAATATATTAATTCAAAAGTATATATTTTTTCTTTCCTCTAATGTAAAAGGTTCAGCATCTTGAAAGATACCATCTTTGGTGTATATGTAACTGAGGGTTTTCATTAATGGTCAATTTTATTTAAAGGTCTCACATAATTTATATAATCTACACTAAAATGTATTATTAGAGCTAGGTTATAGCATATGTTCTTGGTATAATATATAGAAAAGAAAAAATTCTGGACAATTAAAACTATCCTCAAGGATATAAAACAAAAAGGCTTTTTCAAATATACTTAGAAAAAAATCACAAAGGAAAGTTAAGATTTTGTAAAACTATTTAATAAAACATTCGAATAAGGCTGTGTCAAACTCAGTAAGTTTCATATTCCTATGACTTGTTTCCCTAACCTCCTAAAAAATACCCTGTTATACATAAAACGGAGCATTTAGTAAAATACATAGCATACCAGCACATCAAACTTACAGAAACTCTGGCATCCATTTACCATACAACTACCAGAAACTGTAATTTCATCAAATACCACATCATATTTGAAATAATCATTAAACTTACCCACATTAAAAAACTATATTCAAAGATAACCTGGCGAAAATGACTTATTTAAACACAGTATAATCTTATTTTAAGAAAACATAAATTCATAGTAAAAACAGCAAATCACACAATAAACTGAGCATTAGAATTCACAAATTAGTATCTTTAGCTCATTTGAATTAATCAAATACTAAATATTATATTGAGCAAGAGATAACAATATCACTATAATAAGCTAAATCTAAACATGGAAAATAAGTCTAACATAAAAACAAGCAATACTTTTTTTTTTTTTTTTTTTGTCTCTTAGCTGGCTCCCTGACTGCAACTATTTTTTCCCAGTACATAGATATTTTGGAAAAAGAAGCTCGAACACAATTAAATAATAAATTTCAACATTTTCTGTACTTTTTCTTCTCCCAAAATCACCATGTTTCCATTAGCTTCCTAGTAAATCCTACAAAGAGTTCAGTCATTTTATCCATCACCATCTCTCTCTGAGCTTCAAATATAGCTAGAAAAAAAGAAAAGTTCAAAGCAGTTGGAAAAGCAGCAAGTTCCTGAAGAATGCCAGTTTTTTTTTTTGTTTTTTTTTTTCTTCCTAAAAAGTCAACAGGTCAAAATTACTCACAGCTGGATGCAAGGGTCTTCAGAAAATAAAAGGATGGTTTCCCTGCCTCAATCAGCAGACTTAAAATGCTCCCAATCCACAGTGGGATAGATGTGGCCCTCGAGGGTCAGATAATCAATCACTTCCTTGATGGCCTGGATGCTAAGGTCGCAGAGCTGAGCCTGGAGCTCATGGATGCTCCTCCCTTCCAGACTAGGGCACTCGTGAATCAAACGCAGCACTTCGCACCGGATGAAATTGCGGCGACTCTCATCATCATCCCCAGCATCATCCACTTCTGACGCAGACACAGGCACACTTTCTACAGCGGTATCACCACAGGCTTTATCCAGCATCATGTGTGCATTGACCGATTCCAGAATATGCACGGTGAATTCATTCATGTCCTCGAGGACATGAATTTTCAATACTTCAAGGATCTTCGTTCCCGCTGGACATTTGAGGATACCAAACACTTTGACATACAGTCCGACTGACAGTGGAGTCAGCTGCTTGACTTTCTCTCTACCAAACCACTGTCGGGCCTCGATTGGCTTCGCGGTCATATCATCAATTTTGTAACAAATGTGATTTGAAGCCTTCTCTGCCCCTCTGATTACCCCCACGATGGAGACCTGGGAAACTGTAATTCCCCTAACCTTGAACACAGTGTCCAACACAGCAGAGCTGAGCAGCTGGTTCACATTACACGGTACGATGTCCTGGATTCGGACCCTAGGTCTTTGGGTCTTAATAGCAGGAGCTGCACCTCTCTCAGATGGTTGGTCACTGCCTCCACTCGCTCCACCGTAAGCAGAAATGCTGCCATAGCTCCCAAACTCACTCTTACTCATCTTCAAGACAGCTCAGGCCAAGGAGAAGGTGGGCTTTGGCTCGTCTGGGGCTCCGCTGAAGGCTTGGACCTCTCCACAGAAGGCTCCGAGCTCTCCACAGAAGGCTCCGGTTGAATGCTGGGAACCTGACGACGTGACAAGCTTCACGCTACCTGTGGGACCAATCAGCTACCAGAATGCATCTGCTTCCAGCCAATCAGGGCTTGCCATCTTCTCACCTCATCTAATAATCCTTCCCTGTGTGCCAGTGATTGCTACATTCTAAAAGCACACACGAGGCGACCCCTGTTGCTTAGCTGGTCAAAGCGCCTGTCTAGTAAAAGTCCCATGTGTCTTTTAAAGCCAGCCTTTCTCACCATCTCTATCAAAATGCATTTTTACTAGTCCCCCCTCTTTATTTCTTAATGCTGCAACTTCTGCAATCACTTTTAAAAGACGCATTTATTCATTCAAACAACAATGCAACAGAAATTTTAGGAGCATAAAGTGCTTGGCACTATGGCAGAGTGCTGTACGTTATGTGCAGGGGGAAAAATGCACCACTGTGGTCACTGTTCTCAAGAACTCACGTCCCCTGTTCAAACCATTACTAGGAGTATTGGCTAGGCACAGTGGCTCAAGACTGTAATCTCAACACTTTGGGAGGCCATGGCAGGAGGATTATTTGAGGTCAGGAGTTGGAGACCAGCCTGTCAACATGGTGAAACCCCGTCTCTACTAAAAATACAAAAATTAGCCAGGCGTGGTGGTGCACACTTGTAATCCCAGCTACTAGGGAGGCTGAGGTAGGAGCACCATTTGAACCCAGGAGGTGGAGGTTGTGGTGAGCCGAGATCGTGCCACTGCACTGCACTCCAGTCTGGGTGGCAAATGAAACACCTTCCCCCCACCCCCGAAAAAAAAAAAAAAGCTAGGCAATCGTCTTTCAACGATTATCATACTCTAAGATAAGTCACATCGTAACACTGGCTTTTAAAAAATTTTTTGTTATTTTAAAATTGCAATTTTCCAGCTATTTTGCCAAGTGTACTATACATAAGTAATTAGTATATTTCAATTTATACATAAATCCAAACTGAATGACTGAGTTCTAAATTATTTTCAAGGCTCTGTGGACAGGACGGAAAAGTACAAGACTTAGGCCTATTATATATAACGTAAAACATGGATAAAATCACAGTAAGTTTTCCATATGCTCTTACAGAGTAAATTCTGAACTTAAGATTCTAGCAGTTGTATAAACAAATCACAGAGAAAAAAAAATTTTTTTTTAAACAAGGTCTTGCTCTGTTTCTCAGGTTGGAGTGCAGTGGCACCATCTGGGCTCACTGCAACCTCCACTTCCCAAGCTCAGGTGATCCTCCCACCTCAGCCTCCTGAATACCTAGGACGACAGCCACACACCACCACGTCTGGCTGACTTTTTTGTATTTTTGGTAGAGATGAGGTTTCACCATGTTGGCCAGGCTGGTCTTGAACTCCTGGACTCAAGTGATCCACCTGCCTCAGCCTCCCAAAGTTCAGGGACTATAGGCCTGAGCCACCATATCCGGCCAAGAATGTTTTGATATTTCACTGAAATTTTGCTTTTCTTTATAAAACATTTTATTTTGGGTGTTACTGATTTAAAGTCTTTTATAATGGTTAATAAAGAAACTACAGTTATTGGAATCCACCATTGGCAAGTAACCTCCTCCTAACAATCCTCTCTAGTTAGTTAATAGCCTAAATGAGGAGAGTTTTGAGGAGTTTATTAATGCTCTCATTTCTTTTATTGGTTAAATTATTTTTTCTTTTCTCAAAATTACAGAAATGTGTGAAGAATATATATAAAACATAGAAGAACATGAAGTTATACAGACCTTTCAAGTTTTAAAAGAATAAAATCATGGAGCAAACATACTTTATTGGCTTTATAAATAAATATATGATAATTAACTGAGCCCACAAATAGATTTTCATGTAAATGTGAATATTTAACTTCTGGCTCTATGTTAATATTTGTATTCTTAAAATTGTACATTACTAGAGATCCAATTAACTACAGATATTTTTTAATGTTTACAACTTCACAATCATATTCGGCTGTTTTATTAACATCAGACTTTTAGTCAGAAAATCTTGAGGTTTAAATAACAAAACTTGTTATATTCCCAAACAATTATATGAATCATACCAAAATGATCAGAACAACCTACCTGACAGGATTGCTGGTTAAAGAAACCCTGAGGGATTCTAGGCAATTAAGAAGTTTCTCATCTGATATACCCGATCGTAATTCATGCACATATTCTTGTGAAGACAGAGTGCATTCATGTTTGCTGTTTTTCAGCCCACCCTATAAAATAAACAAAGATACCATTTTAAACAATGTTTTAAAATTTTTTAAGTAAAATAGTGTATAGCATATTTTATTACATAAAAATGTGTGCCAAGTGCTATGCATTAAAAATTATTGATCACAGAATTGATGTGGTAAAATTGTGTTGTCTGTATCTCGACATTTTCCTCAACCTAATTTAAAAAAAAATTACAGTGCTGGTGCTCATAACCTGAATAGGATATGAACTTGAATTACATAAAGTGTCATTGACAGGAGTGCTTAAATTTACAATTCAGGCATTAGAATTAATATTAGCTGGTCCTCCTTAACCCAGAGGATAAGCATTCAAAAATCATCTTATTAATTTTCCTAGTTATGTATATTCTATTCCACAAAATCCAGCAAATAAAATGTAATATATATCATTATACATAATCCAAATCTATTAAAAGATATCAAAATATCAGCCTTTCTAAAAAAATAACTGAAAAGTTATTAAAATGTAAAACAATATAGTCTCCAATTAGCATGTTAATTAATCAAATCAGTCGAAAGCATTCACCAGTTCCCAATTATTCCTTTCTGTTACTCTCAGGTTGTAGATTAATCTTAAAAAGTCACTAAATACATTTATCTGATAGTGACTAGTTTTTAACTTAATTTCCAATATACATGGAGTTATTTCTAGAACTTATCACAGCTCCTTAACTTCATCATCTTGCTATAACTATATAAGCAGTTCAGAGAAAAGCTGGGAGAATAACATTGTCAACACATCCACTATACTAATATCTCATAGTTTCACATTCTAGACATACCTAATCATAACTGCCCCTTTCCTATACTATTAATGTATATCCCTGAATTAAGACTCCAGCTTGAGTCCCATTTTACAGGTTCATATAAATTACACTCAGTTTCTGCTAAGTATCTAAGGATACTTACCCATAAACAAAATAATATCATAAAGATATAATATCATAGGAAATAGTATAAGGAGATCATAAGGAACAGATTTTTTTCCCATTGAGTAGAAGTATTATCATTAGAGGATATGGCATGTAAAAAGAAAACAATGTTAATAATGAGAAATTAATTCCCTATGGTTTTACACTATTTGGGTTTTTATTGAGAATGCCTTCTCAATGTAGAAATTGTTAATCATTCTTAATTTCTGAATTTAAAAAACGCCATTATATTCTAAAATTTTAAAGTGTGATAAAGACTTACAACATATAGGGGAACTCTATTCCCTTAGTGCTGTGGCAATATTATCATTATTATAGCACTTAGAATATTGTGGTAGAGGTCATTATTTGTGTCTGCCTCACTTCTACATTGGGAACTCCATCTATGACACATAACAGACACAGTTCATGAATTTAGTGAACCTCAATAAAAGTGTGCTGTTATTGAATCTCTCCATAATAACTGCAGAACAAGGAATACAATTTCATACTTTTAGCTCCCATATTTTGTATAATGGCCACTGACTTGATATTTCTTGCTTTGCTATGAGATACAGTAGATGTTAAAAATATACTGGATGGGCCAGGCATGGTGGCTTATGCCTGGAATCTCAGCACTTTGAGAGGCTGAGACAGGAGAATCACTTGAAGTTAGGGGTTCAAATCCAGCCTGGCCAACGTGGTGAAACTCTGTCTCTACTAAAAACATAAAAATTAGCCAGACGTGGTGGCACATGCCTATAATCCCAGCAACTTGGGAGGCTGAGACACGGGAATCGCTTGAACCCAGGAGGCGGAGGTTGCAGTGAGGTGAGATCCTGCCACAGCACTCCAGCCTGAGCCACAGAGCAAGACTCTGTCTCCCTGCCAAATAAAAAAGTACACTGGAATCGTCATCACCTAAGTGGCATAGTAAGTAAAGCTATCACTGAGAGATCATGTCCACATTCCTGTAATTTCCTTACCCATCTATTATTTCACAAGGAATAACAGCAAGTAAATATTTAAAGCTTAACTTTGCAAATTCAAATTTATAGTTTTATTTTTGCATGGCCAACTCACTTTCTACAACAATACAAAGTTCATCACTAACAAGGGATCTATTTACTACATGTATCAGTCTGAAAGCTATGAGTAAAAGGAATTAAAATTTTCAAGTCTGTAGTCATATACTACTCAAAGTTATTTTTAAATTAATATATAAAAAGGCACTACTGATCTTTAACCCTGTTGAGAGACCTTTGAATTTTGCAGTTTTCTCTCTGCCTTGAAGACCCTTACCCCAATCTTTCCATTGCTGGCGCCTATCATTTTAATCTCAATCCCACAGTCTTCTCCCCATCCCCTATTCTAGTTATCATTGCAACATCATTTTAAATATAATTTACAGTATTACCTCTATGAAAATTTATTTTGGTAATTTAGTTGTTTACTGCCTTCTACACTAAAACATACGCTCTTATAAAACAGGATTCTTGTCTGCCTTATATCCTCAGATCTTAAGACAGTGTTTAAGGGCTCAATACATATTTCCTGAATGAATGGATAGATGGATGGGTGGGCGGATGGATGGATGGATGGATGGATGGATGGAGAATAAACAAATGGGTGAATGAGTGATGAGTTTCAACATGCTGAAGATTCTAAGCTTAGCTTTGCTTCAGAATATTATAATTCTGAGACTTTCAGTTATAATATATTCAGAGATGCTGAATATAAAACAGGTAAACTGAGATACTATATGGCATGCTGAGGACAGCTCAGATTTCATGACCTGGTTTGAATGATGGCCCCAGTCATTTACCTTCTAGTAATCTTTGGGTGAGTACTTAACTAATCTCTGTAAACCTGTTTGTTCATCCATAACAAAGGGGAAATAAAATACCTACCCTTCATGTTTGTTACGAGGATTAAGTAAGACAATGCAATATAAAGGGCCTAAAACAAGTATTTCATATTGGGCATTTCATGGACACAGAATAAGCTACTCAGAAAACGTTGGTTCCCTTTTTCTAATTGATTCCCTACAGGATTAGTCTAATTGGGACATAAGGGCACTGCCGAAGTACTCCTTATGGATAACTGAGCCAGCCCATCACTTTGTGGCCCCCTCCCCACCAAAGTCTTAGAAACAAGCTTAAATTATATAATTCAGGATACTCTGTGATTATATGGAATGGAAGCAAAAAATCTACTGGAGCGTGACAGAGATTATACAACTTTATAGAACAAATGCCTTTTACCAAGCTTAGAAGGACTTTGAGATTTTAACATAAGTTCCTATTTGAAAATTATGAAAATATGACAGCAAGCTAAGGCTGGACTGGCCTTTAAAGATTAGTTCTTTTAATATCCTTATTACAAAAATGAGGAATCCAAGTAATTGCCTAAGTTCACATAGGCAAGAGAGTATGAG